TACAACTTTGCTCTTAACAGCAAAACAAAACTTCAAACGGTTTACGAGATATGGGCTTCAGAAAACTTTCAACAATATGCTAAAATCCAAATTGGAGCTGAAAAATGTAGGAGGCAAAAAAAAAAAAATCTGCCCCACACCTAGCCAAAACAAAATGGGGTTTGTCATATCTCACCTAGTACTTTCAAGTTTTGAAGGTGGTTTTCTGTTTGCTTTTGGTGTGTTGCACTGTGTAATCGAACTTCAAAAAAACATTTTTTATCTTTTTTTCCTTTACAATCAGTGTCCATACGATGCAGACTCCTAAACAAATCGAATAATTCGGAGTCGAAGCCAATTTGATTGCAGAAATGTTAAGTCAAATCGAATCCAGCCGATTTAGGGTTAAAAAATGGTATCTCGAATCAAATCAAGTTTTCCTTTTTCGTTTCGAACTTTGGTAAATTTACATAAAAAATACTCACTGTCCAAAATAAAACCTTGTTCTCTTAATTGCAAAAGAATTCAAGTTAGTTGATTTTCCTTAAATATCAGAGGTACCTACATTAAAATTACGTATCTTTCTCATGCAAAAGGGTGTTCACTTAAGCAACATAGTCAGTCATCACGATCTAAAATTACAGCAACTGGATGTTTGTCTGAACGAGTTATAATAATAGATGTCTTTAGCTAAGCTGATTAAATATTGATCAAAAATCTATTTTTATGATAAAACGGTGTGAATTCTTATTTATCATTCGTGTAAAGCTATCAATCAGCAAATAAGAACAGCGTCTCTAATGTGGACATTTTGCATTCTTCCTCTTCTACTAATAATCTAAATATTAAATCGTCTCTTGGTAACATATTTTTGATTAAAATATATTCCAGAGTGGGATGGTTTCAAAGGACCTGGCGGATTTGGTGATCCCCTTGAAACAAGAAGCTAAGTATACAGTTTTGTAGAGTAGCTCAAGACGCATCGAACGGTATATAATGAAGTTCATTTTCATACCAGCATACAGGATCTAGAGTCAATTTTCTGGTCGGTCGTCATGATAGCCATCTGACCCTATATCGATTTTAGTGCCAGTCACAAGAAGCGAAAAAAATATTTCCAATCTATAATTTTGTAGATATCGTCTTGGATTACACGCTGATATATTCGATATTTCTGCTCGCCTCATATTGATGGAGAAAAATGACACTTTTTATCGATTGTATGCCCATGAAAAACTTTAAAACAAAAAGACGCGTTGAAACGCGTTTTGTTTTAAGCGAACATGTTTTCGCTCGACTTTTTGCGTGTTTTGTCAAACGTGTCTTTCCTTATAGAAAACGCGCTTGGAAAACCCGCTGAAACGCGTTATTTTAATCCGCTCAAAACGTGTTATTTATCAGAAAATACGTGTTTTTCTCTTAAGTGAGAATGAGCTGTCATCCGGACACAGTATAGTATTAGCCTCATAGTAGTGTTATCAGCACAAAATTCACTATCAGTTCATAGTTTCTGTGTTGATCACAAATCCGAAGTATTCTAAGGATTTTTCCGCTTCAAGAACCGATTTTTCAAAATTGACGAGAAAGCCCAAATTCTTCAATAGAAATAACAGTTTAGTAAATAGACGCGAAGCACTTGCTGTTTTGTATTATTTCATTTAGTTTATCAAACTTGCCAGAAAACCTTTTGAACGTACTCTGCTTTTAAAACTGCCCCCCGTTTGAACTTCTTCGCGTTGCCACTGGCTATTCTCTCACCTGTTTCCTTTTGATCATTTCTTACCATTACGTATTTCTCTTCTTCGTCTCAATGTATCAAATGTTCTGTATCAAAGTGACTTTTAAAACGAGTTATAGTCTTATTTTCTTTTATAAACTGCTGCAAACATATATAACCCAAAATTCGAGGAGGTTTTCATTAGAGGACATTTCATTCGAGCAAACCCAGTCAGCCATAGTCATCCCGAAAACTAGAGGTTTCCAAAATTTACGAAACATTTTACGCGTTTAGCGAATTTGTGACACACACAAACACGCAAGAAACTGTGAGTGTACTAAAATGGAACGCAGAAGCACACGTTGCCATGAAAACTCGCTCTACGAGGCTCTACTCGCTTGTCCCTGCCTATTGTTTGTATATAGTTCGCTATTCCTTGCGTGTTGATATGCTACATTGCCTAATCGCGTAAAATTTTTCGTAAATTTTGGAATTCTGCAGTTTTCAGAATGGCTATGACTGATTGGGAATGTCCCAAACCCAGAAAAACCATCGTCCATTTCTAATCCCTTGTGATCAACGTAATTAGTTCAACACTATTCTCAATATTGAATATATAACCAACCACTACAAAAGTTACCGCGATTATTTAGATTTTTGGAAGGAACGGCTAGCGCATATTACAATATAGAGTACAAAAGTACTGCACCTATCTGTGTATGTAACTCACTCATTGAATTAGTCTCACAATATACTTTAGAGTTAGAACTTATCTGTTGTGTCAAACGTCTCTCCAAATAAAATGATGAAATATTGTTTCAGCTGAAGACAAGAGATTCGAGCTACCTATCATATGAGTTATAGTTAACTCATTGAAAAAGAAATAAAATTTGTATGAAGAACAGTTTAAGAAGAACTAATGTAGAACATTTGTGAGACGCCGCACCCCGTTGTTGTACAAATAAATCATCAGCAACCTACAGTAAATTAAAAAATGGAAAACAGCTCTCGTGCAGATGCAGAACTAAATATATGTATTGTACATACATGTAACATGATTGCCATTCCGCGTTCCAAGTGTACTTCTGTATGACAATGAAACATCCAAACACCAGGATTATTTGCACGAAAGCGAATTCTCAAATATCTTAACATTTCAATTATCTTTCATAAGCAAAATAAAAGTGTAGGTGTTTTAATTACCCTCCTTTAGCCACTTGAACGGTGTCTTTTACCAACAGAACGTTATTATTTGTCGAAATATTTGCTTTATACTGGCATTGTGCATGCTCATCACATTCAACATTAGGATTATTACTTACATAGATACCGCTTGTTTCATTTAATTCAGCTAGCCCTTGTTCAACAACATGAAAATAATGTCCATGTAGATGCATTGGATGTTGATCATCATCATGATTAATTACCAAAAACTCAATTGTATCGTTTAATTTTAGTACCACATGATGGTAGCATTTTTCACCATTTGTTTCACTTAATAACAAAGTATTTGTACATGTAAACTGGTTTCTAGCTTCAATTGGATCAAATAAAATCGGTTGTGTAAGTATTGGTAATTTCATTCCAATCCAATTGATTGCTTCATAACCACTCATCTGTGTTGATAATGATGGTTCAACGTGTGTCAGTGATATAGTTTTACGCAGAGTTATATTTGTTGTTTCTAGTTGCACTAAGTTTTTATCAATATGAATTGAACTTGTTGTCATATTTGAATATGTTAAGCATATAAATGAATCTTTATCTGAACCATATTGAGTGAATGGACAATTTAGTATTCGACATGGATATTGTTTCGAACAATTTTTGCTGATGAATGATTCTTCTTGCTCAACGTCAATATTGTTGTTGCTGTATTCAAGAATAGCACGACCATGCCATCGAGGATTATTATTTTTGTCTAAAGTATCTACGCGAATCATATAATTGCTATTAGGGTTGATATTCGTGGTATTTATGAGAAGATCGAATCGTTCACCGAGTCCTACTATGATTTGATCAACAACTATTGATTGTTCAAATGGTAAACCATCTGATTCAATAACTTCTAATGAATGCATATCAATTGAAAACCGTAATGAGAATACACTACCACCATTAATCAAACGTAAACGATATGTTTGATTTACACTTACACTTAATCTTTCTAATGGTGTCGTTGAAGAATAATTTGCTAAACGATCAAAATATATTCCACGTCCATTAATTAATATTGAATCAACTATTGCTTCAGCTGCACGCGATCCATCAACAGCTTCAAAATAATCAATATTTGTATCGTTTATTAGTGACTGTACGCTGTTCGGATAGAACTGACCACTTTCAACACAAAGTCCATGTTGCTCACTGAACAAGAGAAGACAGAGTGACATAAACTGTGTAGAAGTGGATCATAGTGATGATCGCATTGCTTCACTTGCCTGGTTATTGAGTGTTGCCAGTCTTGTAATAAGAGCACAAATTCCTCTACATTGGATTGTTGCTGTTCTAGTTTTGGGTGTACAATAAAACTACCAACTAAACCCATGGAAATTTGTGTATTAATATGAGAATGATACCAGAATGTTCCTTTAGTTATAAAAGAAAAAGAATTTGGTGTTATCTGATTGAACCTTTACATGTTGCATCTATAGCTAAATACCTTCATCAACAGCCCGAAATTCATATAAATAACTTTGACCTGGTAAGATAGAATTTTGGGTAACACGTCCAATGCCATCACTCCAAGGTGTGTGCAGTTGTCTAATACCGTGAAAATGAACTGACAGGGAATCTGTTATAAAATCATTGTAGATACGAACTTTTATATTTTGATCTTTATAAACATGTAAAACTGGTCCCGGCAATGAATTGTTAAACACGTAGACCTATGTACATGATATGCAGATAGATGTCATTTTTATATCACAGTTATAGAATTTTTGTATCTCACCAACTTTGGATAGCCATCGGCTGTTATTATATCATCAATCGAAAATGTTTGGTTTATATCATCGTACTTGTGAAGTGTAGTCCCCATAGTAATATTATCGTTCGATGCTACTACTCTGTAAAGTTGTCTATAAAACATTGTCATCATTGCGCTTGCCCTCAGTTCAAATGAACAATTTTCCATATTTACTTTACATGAGCCATTATGATTGTAAGGATGAAATGAAATATGCGATGCCTGGATGGTATAGTAACAAAAACAATGCAGCAAAAATAGAACTATTAACATTACATACATGTCGCTTATATCACGTCCAAAATCTATACAAGAATACAATACTATTTAAGCTTCCACCATTTATAGAACTGACATCTGGTTATCTCGCAAAATTATATAATGAGGTTATTAAAAATCATTCTGAGCAGCAGATCGTCTCATTTTATAGATGAACGTTTTCTCCATGCATTTGTCGGAAGAAAAATAAGTTTAAAGTTGATACTGGTATATGAGTGGTATAGAATACCAAAGAATTGTGCATGATAACTACTATTCGTTCAGAAAAAGAACGGCCTCCGATATTTTTTGAATAATATTTCAACAAAAAGAGGACAGAGGACAGTTTAGAAAGTAGACCTATAAAAAAATTCAGGTTCAGGATCAGGTTTACCATGGTAAGCAATTCCTATCAAAATGTCCGACTTTGCAGTTTCCAGGTCAAACAATAAATTTTGAATTCTGAAAGCTAAAACCATCAGACCGTCCTCTTTTAAGCCATACATGGTATAGATTTTCATTCTCAATGGCTGAGAAATCACAGAATTTTTCCGGGAATCTGCCTATCCTTCATAATTCTGGCTCGGGAACCATAAAGAGAGATGGACTGTAGGTTTTCGACATCGCTGATCAACGTGACAATGTTTATTTTCTTTCTCAGATTACAGAAAGTTTAGCTGAGCCAATTTATCAAAATAATCCACTTCTCGTATGTCCATTTAAAATGAAAATGTTGATACCTCAATCATTTCTCATCCAAGCAAACGGTAATTCCAGGAAATATTCATGACTTGTTTTGAATATTTCCTGAAAACTACCATTTTTTCGGATGAGAAAAGACTGAGTTATGAACATTTTCATTTTAAACCGCAAGGTTCTAGATTTTTTTGTTGAAAAGTTATTCAGAAAGTATTGGGGGCCATTCTTTTTTTGAACTGATAGTAATCACCAGTTATATAACTGGTTTTGTCTCTTTGCAGTTCGTGATGAAAGCTTTTGTCTTTTATTCTCTAAATTTTGAGTTTGGTGCAAATAGAGAGATCAAATGTCTCTCTACAAAATGAGATCTTACCCTCAATACAATTAATAACTAACGCATGAACGATCGTTTAACGAAGCAACGATGGCCATCACATAGAGTGAACAAGACGAATTCCTAATTGTCCATGAATATATGAGAAAATTGTGTATGCAAAATTAACAGCCTGAGAAAAAAAAGAGAAAAACTTTTTTTCTTGCCTAGTGCAATAATGGGTTATGCAAAAGTTTCTGCACAAATGTCTCTCCATTTTTCATCTACTAGAACATGTTTTGCAAGAATCAAAAATATCTGCTCAAAATCAGCGTTGAAAGAGCTCTCTAACTATGTGTTCAAATATATGCTATTATTTCTTACTGTTGAGTAACGAGCACATCTTTGAACAGTATTAGAATGTAAAAACGGCTCGAAATGGCGGTGGCAAAAGAAACTAATCTCTGAGTATTTTTCGATTATCTCTGATTTATTACATTGTATTTTGTTCAGCTTTTTTTCATTAAATTCGGTGTTTAATTCTCTGTGATTCTGGTAAAAAATGATACGACATGGCTTTTGATAGCATGATCAAAAAAATCGAAAAACCACGATAGACGAAATATCGTAAAAATTGAATATGAAAATTGGCTCTCAACTATGTCTGTGCTAACGTAGAATTCTATACATTTCTTTCTCTGATTCGGCTAATATATTGTATATCTGTACTAACGTAGAATTCTACAGAATTCTGTAGAATGTCTGTATTGCAGGAACTCGGACATTCCTCATTTTTTCCGCTGTTATCTAAACCACTGGCATCATATTTTCTGCCCGGTTCGTAGATAATTGAACGGGGAATCTAGTGAAAATAAAAAAATACTGAACTGTTTTTCCTGTACAGACTACAGTTTAGTGCTGTGGGAAGATGTTCTCGTCACTCCCAAGACGTGATAGCATTTTTTTGAGCATACAGGTAGAAAGCCCTTTCAACGCAGATTCTAAAGAGCTATTTCTAATTTTTCCGAAACATGTTATAGTAGATGAAAAATGGAGAGACATTTGTACAGAAACTTTCGCATAACTCATTATCGGCATTTTTCCCTTCCTAATTTGCCGGCGATTTAGTTTTGCGTTGTCTCGACTTCATCTCTCAACTCGGTGCATCTGGATTATTTAATATATAGTATTTTTTTCATATATCAGACCGTCAAGTGCGTTTCTCCCTTCTCGATGAACTGATTTTTGTAGCTAAAGTGTAATATCCTTAAGTATGATTAGAAATAGATGCTTAGCTCCATCCACACAGCTAAAGGAAATCATGTATAATAACACACTATCTACTTTTCAACCAATGTTACATCTCACAACTACAGAAAGTGGTAAGCCACTGTTAAATCATAATACACATCAACATACTGAAAACGTCAAATCAAACTAGTATCCAATAGCGATGTCCTTTTCTAAAATGCAGTAGTTCAAGAGCATTATGTTCACACAACAAATTATAGCTAGCTAACATGATACATTACTAGATATTGCTAGCTAACTCACTAAAAGTGGTTCAGATAGCTACCACAAGCCTATATTGCCCGATAGCATAATTTTACAGCTAAATATTCTCAAACGTGTTTTTTTGCTTGGATACAAAGAAGGGACGAAACAACGTCAATAGGGATGCCTCTTTATACCCATGTAATCGTTTGCGTTCGAAAAAACGCGTTTGAATGCTGTTTTGGGCGTTTTGTAAAAACCTGCATTTGAGTCGAACGCGTTTAATCGCCCTCATGTGTGAGGAGCGTTTGAACGTTTTTTTTTATGAATTCTTGTTAAGCGTTTGAACGCGTTTGATTATTAAAGGCGTTTAAACGCCACAGATATTTAACACTCTGAACGCGTTTTAAGGCGTTTCGATTTGATTAGACGTTTGAATGCTGTTCTGAAACAAGTTACAACGGCGTTTGAGAGCGTTCCTATTATTAAGCGCCTCTTCATGCTATAGATATTTGATACTCCGAACGTATTCGAGGCGTCCTAATTTAAACAGAAGCCTGAACACAGTTTTGAAAACGGTTCAGACATCGTTCAAAACCGTTTATATTATTGAACAGGCTGCATTTTTATTTTACTACTAACTCTCTCTAAATAAATGAATACCTTACTTTTGAGACATACAAAAGCACAAGTCTTAAACTAAATGTTAAAAAAGTCTCATTTAAAATCTGGATGTAACTTAATTCGTGTGTTCATCTGTTTATGAAGAGTTAACATTAAAATAAAATGCTACTGTACGGCTAATTTCTTGATCTGGAAAGAGTTATTTTAGGAATATGAAGGGCTCGCTAAAAATCCTGGCTACATTTTTCAGTAGGTAACTGTTTTTTCTGTTCATGCGCATCATAATCGCAGTACTGAAGAAAATAAAAGCCCCTAGTGAATGTACTTGAATTCGTATAAGAAATAAAAGAAAATGACGTATAGTACTTTTTTCGTTATAGTCGTCAGAGAATTTCTCTTCTTTCTTTGGTTTCTAAACTCTTTCGGCCCATAGTACATAATATGACAGAAAGATATATCAATCTTTGTCGAGCACCAATAGCTCAATGGTACGTGTCTCGCTCTCTATTCTTTAGGTCTCATGTTCGAATCCGCCAGTCGCCCTCATTTCGTAAGTAATAATTGTTCTGCTACTTCTAGGGAGAAGGATAGAGATATCTTGAAGGAAATGAACTATATAGACAGCCATATCGATAGTGACACATAACATTCTTTTTTTTTCTTTTTTTCGGAAGTTTTGATAAACGCCTTTAAATGCTTTTATCTTAAAAAACGCGTTTGAACGCTTCAAATGTTTCATTTTTAGGCCGTTTTTAAGCGTTTGATGAATAAAACGCGTTTGGATTGCGTTTATTTCTCGTAAACGCGTTTTTTAGAGTCGAAATTGTTACATGGGTACTATATTGATACTTGGAACGTAAGTAATACTAAGATGATTGATTTATGGCGAAAACATAATCATAAGGAGGGCTATGCCAGTCATTCAGAGATGAAATTCTAACTGATCCTCACTTTTTAGGTTTGTCAGTGTTTTCTTTCTAAAAAAAATGGTTCTTCCAAAACCTTTAAAGGTTTATACTTTTGAAACGAATTCGAAA